GTCAGACAAAATTATGATGTTAGCTTGCTAAAATATATACAGTTGAAGTCGGAAGTTTACATACACCTTAGACAAATACATTTAAACTCAGTTTTTCACAATTCCTGACATTTAATCCTAGTAAAAATTCCCTGTCTTAGGTCAGTTAGGATCACCAATTTATTTTAACAATGTGAAATGTCAGAATAATAGTAGAGAGAATGATTTATTTCAGCATTTATTTCATTCATCACATTCCCAGTGGGTCAGAAGTTTACATACACTCAATTAGTATTTGGTAGCATTGCCTTTAAATTGTTTAACTTGGGTCAAACGTTTCGGGTAGCCTTCCACAAGCTTCCCACAATAAGTTGGGTGAATTTTGGCCCAGTCCTCCTGACAGAGCTGGTGTAATTGAGTCAGGTTTGTAGGCCTCCTTGCTCGCACACGCTTTTTCAGTTCTGCCCACACATTTTCTATAGGATTGAGGTCAGGGCTTTGTGATGGCCACTCCAATACCTTGACTTTGTTGTCCTTAAGCCATTTTGCCACAACTTTGGAAGTATGATTGGGGTCATTGTCCATTTGGAAGACCCATTTGCGACCAAGTTTTAACCTCCTGACTGATGTCTTGAGATGTTGCTTCAATATATCCACATAATTTTCCTTCCTCATGATGCCATCTATTTTGTGAAGTGCACCAGTCCCTCCTGCAGCAAAGCACCCCCACAGCATGATGCTGCCACCCCCGTGCTTCACGGTTGGGATGGTGTTCTTCGGCTTGCAAGCATCTCCTTTTTCCTCCAAACATAACGATGGTCATTATGGCCAAACAGTTCTATTTTTGTTTAATCAGACCAGAGGACATTTCTCCAAAAAGTACGATCTTTGTCCCCATGTGCAGTTGCAAACCGTAGTCTGGCTTTTTTATGGCGGTTTTGGAGCAGTGGCTTCTTCCTTGCTGAGTGGCCTTTCAGGTTATGTCGATATAGGACTCGTTTTACTGTGGATATATATACTTTTGTACCGGTTTCCTCCAGCATCTTCACAAGGTCCTTTGCTGTTGTTCTGGGATTGATTTGCACTTTTCGCACCAAAGTACGTTAATCTCTAGGAGACATAACGCGTGTCCTTCCTGAGCAGTATGATGGCTGCGTGGTCCCATGGTTTTTATACTTGCATACTATTGTTTGTACAGATGAAAGTGGTACGTTCAGGTGTTTGGAAATTACTCCCAAGGATGAACCAGACTTGTGGAGGTCTACAATTGTTTTTCTGAGGTCTTGGCTGATTTCCTTTGATTTTCCCATGATGTCAAGCAAAGTTTGAAGGTAGGCCTTGAGTTTGAAGGTAGGCCTTGAAATACATCCACAGGTACACCTCAAATTGACTCAAATGATGTCAATTAGCCTATCAGAAGCTTCTAAAGCCATGACATCATTTTCTGGAATTTTCCAAGCTGTTTAAAGGCACAGTCAACTTAGTGTATGTAAACTTCTGACCCACTGAAATTGTGATACAGTGAATTATAAGTGAAATAATCTGTCCGTAAAACAATTGTTGGAAAAATTACTTGTGTCATGCACAAACTAGATGGCCTAACCGACTTACCAAAATGATAGTTTGTTATCAAGAAATTTGTGGAGTGGTTGAAAAACTAGTTTTAATGACTCCAACCTAAGTGTATGTAAACTTACGACTTCAACTGTATATGATGGCAAACTAGCTAGTCTCGTAGTGAGGAGCCTCTAAAACGTAGCTCGCTTCATAAATATATTTTTTGGAATTCTGAAATGTATTCGAATAAATGACCAAACTATAAAACTAGCTAGCCAGCTATGGGTAACTGTAGATAGATACCTGAGAGTAGTGCTAGCTACGTTAGCTTGCTAGGTACATTAATAGCTTTAGGTTGGTTGTTTTTAAGCTCAACTTCAAGATTTCCACCAAGGACGGTACCTCTCCGATCGTCACTCTCCCTCTTCTTCTTCGATGAGGTTTAACGGCGGTTGGCATCCAATAAATGTTGCATTACCGCCATCTACTAGACTGGAGTATAACTCCCTTATACTTTGTTTTAAAAATAATAATAATAATAATAATACAGCAAATACCCTACCATCTAACAATACACTCACAAAAACAAAAATAAAATAATAAATACCATACTCCACTATTTAAATCTATTTAGTCCTACTTCAGGCCAATAGCCTGAAAGGATTTGACACCCCCACTTAACACACCCTGTAACTCTTCTGATCAAGTCTCACACACCCAAATACCTCTGCAGCTGCCACCACAACCTCTATTTTATGCGACTTACGTTCCATCCCTGCAGTACAGTTGATAACCATTGCTATAAATGCCAAAAATCCAATCTTACTGAAACATATATCACTTGTTGGTTTATCCCTCTGTACTGGTACAGATCTAATACTCACACCACTCCTCTCAGGATCCCTCCCCCTTGACCCATCTTCCTCTACTTTCTTCACTGACTCAGCATATGACAACTTCTGCACTACTCTAACCCTGGAAACCTCAACCTGCCTCTCTCACACGGGACATTTCTGATCCCCAGCCCCATGGGCACCCCTATAATTAACACATACCACTACTTTCCCCAGTGCTACACATTCCTTTGTCTCATGCCCTTCTGCACACTTCTCACACCTAGGAACCTTCCTCCTACACACTGCTGCCACATGCCCATAAGCTTGACACCTGTAACAACGTGATGTATTCGGCACAAAAGCTCGTACAGGATAATTTATATATCCTAACATCACTTTGTTGGGCAAAGACTCAACATCAAAACTCAAAAGAACAGACAATGACTCTTCTGTTTCTCCACTCACGCCACCCGGTCTGCATCGCACCAAACAACGAGCATCACAAACACCGGGAATCTTCCCCTCAGTTGGTCAGCTTTCACATTTGCCACTATCTCAGTAATCACTCCTTTCAATGGCGCCCTTTTCTTGAGAGCAACACAATTCACATCTCTTGCCCCCATTCGTTTAACACGGAGCGCCTGCTCCTTCTGACCAGCAGAAACACAAACAATTATCACAAGACCACTTCTTGTTACCCTCACTGATTCCACAGCACCCAACTCTGTTTTCACCCACCCCAAAACCACAAATGGATCAGCCAAAAGGCAAGGGTCCACTTTTTCCAAAAACGTCACTCCTACTGTCACAGACTCATCTTTATCCTGACCCTTGGTGCAAGCGTCGGGCTCCGAGAACTTCACCACGCCTACCACCTCCGATACTTCGCCCTCATTCACTTCCATTTTTCCTCCTGTCGTCAGCTCACTCTGCTTACACTTTCTACCATTCTTCTTTAACAAACCAACTCCCTTTTTCGCGCCATTTTTAACTGACTCAAGCTCACCCTCTTCCTCCCTCTCTCTCTTAGACCTCCTCTGCCTCTCTTTTTCCCTCCATTCCTCCTCCGTATTCCAAGTATAAGTCTCCTTATGATAATACTGCAGTTCTCCTGACATACATCTTGTTCTTGCCTTGTCAAGGGACGCCATTTAACCGGCTGTCACAATCTCTGTACAATCAGCACGAACCCCTCGGGATGTAGAGCTCAACAGTGCATCCTACTTGTAAAGCATCTGCTTTGTCTTGATGTTCTTCTTTATCAATAGCTACTGCAACACTTTTCCATTTCAAACAAGCGTGCTCTCTCTACCGCATCACTCTCCCTCGCTTGGGCAAGGGACATTTAAGGTACACTCGGATGTGATGATGTAAAACGTCATTCTAGGGCTGAGGGTTTAGGGCTGAGGGCTGTCTACTTTGAGTTTGGACTGCAACCAATGAGCCAGATATTTCACTGGATGTATAAATGTGAAGCATCCGGTTGGCGTTTCCACTCACTACCAAATATGTTGATGAGAGAAAGCCCAGTGGCCGGCAGTGGGAGAAGATGGAGCGAGATGGACTTTGGCCAACATTCTGCACATTTTCTCATCGATGAAACATTTGATCTCCATACAGTTTTCTGTTTCCAAAAGTAAAATCTGTATCAAACAGAGTGGACTTTACACTTTGGCAAATTTTTAAAAAATGGCTAGTTCTGCCCACTAGGATTAATTTGCTCCCAATCGGAAACGACAGGCTCTAGTCTGTCTTGGCTTTGTTATAAAAATCTTTGGTACCACTGTGAAGCAGGCAAGAATAACTAAGTACTTCCGGATCACGGAGTTTTGGAATCCTTCAGAATAAATGTCCCGTCCTGTATACTTTGTAAATTAATAATTAGGGCGAAAATGATGGAAAATGTGCAGAATTGTTGATATATTTTATACTAGTTATCATACAAAGAATAATTAAAAGTATTTCTATAAGATATGTCATTAATTTGTTTCTTTTTTTAAGCCTAAATGGTCAACAATATTTTTTTTGTGTGTACGCCTATCATTTATTGCACCGTACAAAATTATCTGTAGGTTGTGTCGCAGTAAAAGGGGGTCCATTCTACTCAGGAGCACTTCTAGTTTCCAAATCCACAGAGTTTACACCCAGAGGAGCGTCGCTGCTCATTTGGCAGCCCTTAAAGAGTGGCCAATCAGCTTAAATCCAATATTTTGTTCATACTGGAAATACATATTGCACCATATACAATTATCTGTACGTTGTGTCGCAATAAAAGGGGCGTCCATTTTACTATGTCCAATATGAATGGGCTAATTAACAATGGGATTTAAACGTGTTTTCTAAAGTGTATTATTATAATTATGTTATTACTAATATTGTCATTACTATTATTATTAATAGTAGCATTATAAATAATGTTTTGTTATTTGTATTACTGTTGTTACCTTGATAACTATCTAGTAATAATCACTTAATGCTGTTAAAAATAATGTAAATGCTATAATATTATTTGTGTTATAAAGGCAATTAACTTTATTCCTGTTTTCATACTGTTAAACTGCTAACATTTCCTCATAGAATTGTACGAATTTCTACCCTTTGTATTGTTTTTCACCATCGTCATTACAGGACTTTTATTTTTAAGGTAAATCGCCGAGGTCACGGCCTTATTCTTGCTAGGTCTTGTTTATTCCTGCCTGCGGAACGGAGATCTTCACAGCCGTATTATTTGCTATCTGTGACGTTATCCTGATAAATTTCCAGGCAGGCTTGTTAGTGCAAAAGTAAGTATTCTATCGTCCTTTCTATTTTAAAATGTGAGTTGCCATTCAGTGTCGCATCATCTTCGGTGAAGAAACCCCGTTCGTTACACCCATGTTATTGAAATTGCCTACGCCTAATAACATTATTGCCAGGTCTCTTGCCGTAACTCTAATTAATGTACATTTTAAAGCTACATTAGGGTTCCATTTTATTTTATACAACGATATCATGGTGTTTTGATGCACTCTTGCGTAATAGCCACCTATTTGTCTATTCGGGAATGGTTTAAATGATTGTGGAATGTGCACATAAATAGCACCCCATCTCCCAAGATCATGGCCACAATCTGTTACATCCTAATTTTCTTCCATTCAAAAAGGTACTTTAAAGGTCCACGAGCCTGATACAACCTACTAGCCCATCCTATCTATGTCTCAGTAGCACGGGTTCCATCAATGATTCGTATATACACTAAATGACTGATAGGGGGCGCTGTGTTGAGGCCACCACGCCTCCATTTTGGCACTCTTTGGAAGCTATATAAATGCATGTATTATTGTCTTCAATCGTTTTTTCCACATGTATTCTATTACACACACCTTAATGCATACTTTTAAATTATGTTATGTGAGCTAAACATAAGTATAAAAAAATATATAAAGACATTTTCCTTAAAGTATATATATTTGAGATGACTAATGTTATATGTAATTTTGTCCTTGAAACATTTAATTGAAATACTGTAGAATTCCATTAATTCCTATGGAGGAGTGTTCGTACTGGGGAGTGTCAATATGGCCAACTAACTGGTGGCTTCAAAGCCTCTCAATGGTAGTCCTTTGTATCTCAGTTGGTAGAGAATGGCACTGTAACGCCAGAGTAGTGGGTTTAATTCCCAGGACCAAACATACGTAAAATCTATGCACGCATGACTGCAAGTTGCTTTTGATAAAAGTGTCTGCTAAATGGCATATATTATTATTATTATTATTATTATTATTATTATTATTATTATATTAATGTCCAATACATAGCATCAGCAATCCAGGGTTTATATCCATAATTGGTTTCCATCTGATTGGCGATACATTTTCATACAAATATTATTGAATATGCATAAAGAAAATATGCAAATTTTCCCACCAGTGGTGTGTTTCCAACAAACGGACTTGTGTGATGACAGGTTAGCGGATACAGTGCTGGGAGGCTGTGCGGGTAGGCTAGTCTATGATGAGATTATTATGGATAAGAGTAAGAATATTTTTATTTGTCAAATGGCAGTCAAGCATAGATCGCCATGGCACCAGAATAAGACACTCTATATTTATTGGAAAGGAGCATCAAGATCAGTGGCGATATGAACAAAAAAATTGATAAAATGTTTTTAGATGCATGCCAGCAAAGCCACTACACAACACAACACTAAACAATACATTAATTGCACTATAACAGTGACAAACGGTGCCCTCAAACTGTTAGGGCCCAACAGCAGTCCCAACAGCAGTCCCAACAGCAGAGTCCCAACAGCAGTCCCAACAGCAGTCCCAACAGCAGTCCGAACAGCAGTCCCAACAGCAGTCCCAACAGCAGTCCCAACAGCAGTCCCAACAGCAGTCCCAACAGCAGTCCGAACAGCAGTCCCAACAGCAGTCCCAACAGCAGTCCCAACACCTTACCACTGCTACACCTGTCTATCAGCGGAGCCTTGTCTGGCAGCAACACAGTTAATTCAGCCTCAACATAGCTGATATGGTTGACTTGCTTAAATAAATGTGGTTTCTACTGACAATTGAGATGTACAAACTATGGCATAAGGCGATGACGAGCGCATAAGAGGCAATCCGTAATTTCGATTAAGACATTAATGAGCGAGCTAGGACGGACGTTGTCAATATAACTATTTGTTCAGCACTTTTGAAATGTACAGCGACAGAATTCAGAACATGGTATTCAGAACATGGTACAGTATTCTCCCTGTACACCAAGTCAGAACCGTAGGATAAATAAAGGGGGCATATAAGCAGACAATGAAAGCTCTTACAATATTCGATGATGACATTTCTCTAAAACAGGTTTATAGGCTACATGTGCACCACCAAGTCAGAACAGTAGGCTAAGTTATGATGGGGAAAGGGACCAAAGCATACAAGATATGTTTGGACTCACCTTGTTGTGCTGTGCTCACTTGAACAGGAAGGTGGCGCGGTGGTCCTTCGCGGGCAAATTTTTGTCATCAGGTTGAATCATGATGACGTCCGTGATCTTCAGGTCGGAGTTCTAGAAAGAGGCCAGAGTTACCAACTTGCAATTCCGAGTTGGATGACCATTCAAAACTTATTTTCCCAGTCAAAACTCGTTTTTTTCAGAGTTCCCAGTTGTCTTGAACTCACTAAAGTCTGAGATTTCCCAGTTCCGAGTTTCCAGTTGTTTTGAGCGCGGCAGAAGTCATGCTGGATTGACAGCATGGCCAATGTTGAATGTTTATCCCTTTAAGCTTGGAAAAGAGACCCTTAAACCCAGACTTGGACCACACACCCACTCCACTGAATAGCAGGCTAGTGATTGCTTTGCAATGCTTGCAGTTAGCCACTGATTCCTTCCAAACCACTCATTGTTGAATTTGCGATTTCCAATGGCCGATGAGCATCGATACGTTTTATTTATAATTTCTCTTCATAATTTCTCTTCATATGACAAGGATTGAAAAGGATTTGCCAGTAGATTGTCGAATTGATTCATGATGATGACTGCTAGTTTGCTAGCTAAGATTTTGAAAGTATGATGTTGACATGATCAGTCCAATCAAAGCTACGGTTGATATAACGTGATTTGACGTCGTTTTATCTGTGGCCAATGACCTTGAGCATTCTTGGATGGACACTTCTAATGTAACTATGGCAGCACCAAAGGGGCTTGAATTTTCTAGCTCTTTGCTGTGACGCAGGTAGCTTCGTGGTTAAGAGCGTTGTGCTAGTAACCGAAAGGTCGCTGGTTCTAATCCCCGAGCCGACTAGGTGAAAAATCTGTGGATGTGCCCTTGAGCAAGGCACTTAATTGCTCCTGTAAGTTGCTCTGGATAAGAGCGTCTGCTAAATGACTCAAATGTAATGAGTGACAGAATGCTGAGCCAATCATGGCACAACTAGAGAACATCACCAACCCCTACGCTCCGTATTTTCCGCTGGCTGCCCCACCACCACCACAGAAAGCACTGAGCTAGGCTGAAACACATGCATTTTGGAGATGCCTTACTCAAGAAAGCAAAAAAGAGACCAAATTTGTATGCAGCTTTATCAACTCAATTACTTTTTTTAAACATTGTTTGCAAACTGATATGTGACACATATTAATACCAAAATAACATGCAAAACAGGCTTTCTTTTTTTCTTTGCTTCCCCACCTGCCCTGAATGACGGGTCGCCACTGATCAAGATGACCGTGCACTTTCACCACCCTGTGAAGTTCACCATAAATTATTTCATCTATATCCTAATAAACTGCATGGTTTCCCGAGTCGTACTGGGAGAACCACACACCATATCATCGTGTGACTCCAAGTTGACTTCCATATGATGGTTATTATATCAATATTTGCGCATAAAGGCGTTTCCACCGCCATTTCTCGCATTATTAATTTTACTGACACAAAAACATCCCACCATGTCGAACAAACAAATGATATTTTACGGTATGACTTTACGTGCTTAAAAACTGTGGATGGAAACGTGGTTTATGATTCCATCCCATGGGAACCATTTGTTGTCTTGCTAATAAATTACATCTTAAATAGTTTTTCAAATTCGTGTTTTATTAGACACAATTTGTCCTGTATTCAAGTCAAAGCATAGACTAAGCTTAGAAGGAATTTCAGGTGATCTGATGGCCCATGTTCTGGAATGTTCCCATTTATATACAGTAGCTTCGCTCATCAGCCAAAAGATAAAATGAAAGGTACACTTGCACTTTGTCTCTCCAAACAGGGTGATGCAATCTGTCCTACAGAGGGGTCCCACTGATTGACATTTACAAGCAGAGGCAGAGAGCAGTAAGTATAATTATTTAATGACTATACCATTTCTCAGATCACTTTCAATATTTTACATTTGGATCCTTTCCTTGAAAATGTGGTCTCAGTTTGGCTCATTTTGGGAGACGAGAGGTTTCACTGGAAAGCCTGGTTTAGGCTACTCTGGACATAGCTGAGTAAATTCAACTCCATATACATCTCAATGGATTTGAATTGTGATGAGTGTTGGCGAAGTGTACCTCTGTCTACTTCAAGTCCGTATCATTCAATAATTAAATGTCCATTCTTTAATGCGTACCTTGTACCTACGTTTGTCCTGTGTAACTGCGTTCTTTTCTTTGGGTGCCGTAATCTGTAGTTTTTGATAAAAATAGCTTTTTACGCGACTCCGCCAAGGGAGTGGTTGTTTGTTAACGGATAATGAGCAGCCCATCATTGCACGACAGGTTTTTGAGTTTTGGCAGGGGATGCATAGAATACAATAAAAAAAAAAACCTCTATAACAATCAGGACAAGCACATATACACAGTAAGCCTGTAAAAAAAATATATATGTATATATATATATATATATATATATATATATGTGTATATATACAGTGGGGAGAAGAAGTATTTGATACACTGCCGATTTTGCAGGTTTTCCTACTTACAAAGCATGTAGAGGTCTGTAATTTTTATCATAGGTACACTTCAACTGTGAGAGATGGAATCTAAAACAAAAATCCAGAAAATCACATTGTATGATTTTTAAGTAATTAATTTGCATTTTATTGCATGACATAAGTATTTGATACATCAGAAAAGCAGAACTTAATATTTGGTACAGAAACCTTTGTTTGCAATTACAGAGATCATACTATTCCTGTAGGTCTTGACCAGGTTTGCACACACTGCAGCAGGGATTTTGGCCCACTCCTCCATACAGACCTTCTCCAGATCCTTCAGGTTTCGTGGCTGTCGCTGGGCAATACAGACTTTCAGCTCCCTCCAAAGATGTTCTATTGGGTTCAGGTCTGGAGACTGGCTAGGCCACTCCAGGACCTTGAGATGCTTCTTACGGAGCCACTCCTTAGTTGCCCTGGCTGTGTGTTTCGGGTCGTTGTCATGCTGGAAGACCCAGCCACGACCCATCTTTAATGCTCTTACTGAGGGAAGGAGGTTGTTGGCCAAGATCTCGCGATATATGGCCACATCCATCCTCCCCTCAATACGGTGCAGTCGTCCTGTCCCCTTTGCAGAAAAGCATCCCCAAAGAATGATGTTTCCACCTCCATGCTTCACGGTTGGGATGGTGTTCTTGGGGTTGTACTCATTCTTCTTCTTCCTCCAAACATGGCGAGTGGAGTTTAGACCAAAAAGCTCTATTTTTGTCTCATCAGACCACATGACCTTCTCCCATTCCTCCTCTGGATCATCCAGATGGTCATTGGCAAACTTCAGACGGGCCTGGACATGCGCTGGCTTGAGCAGTGGGACCTTGCGTGCGCTGCAGGATTTTAATCCATGACGGCGTAGTGTGTTACTAATGGTTTTCTTTGAGACTGTGGTCCCAGCTCTCTTCAGGTCATTGACCAGGTCCTGCCGTGTAGTTCTGGGCTGATCCCTCACCTTCCTCATGATCATTGATGCCCCACGAGGTGAGATCTTGCATGGAGCCCCAGACCGAGGGTGATTGACCGTCATCTTGAACTTCTTCCATTTTCTAATAATTGCGCCAACAGTTGTTGCCTTCTCACCAAGCTGCTTGCCTATTGTCCTGTAGCCCATCCCAGCCTTGTGCAGGTCTACAATTTTATCCCTGATGTCCTTACACAGCTCTCTGGTCTTGGCCATTGTGGAGAGGTTGGAGTCTGTTTGATTGAGTGTGTGGACAGGTGTCTTTTATACAGGTAACGAGTTCAAACAGGTGCAGTTAATACAGGTAATGAATGGAGAATAGGAGGACTTCTTAAAGAAAAACTAACAGGTCTGTGAGAGCCGGAATTCTTACTGGTTGGTAGGTGATCAAATACTTATGTCATGCAATAAAATGCAAATTAATTACTTAAAAATCATACAATGTGATTTTCTGGATTTTTGTTTTAGATTCCATCTCTCACAGTTGAAGTGTACCTATGATAAAAATTACAGACCTCTACATGCTTTGTAAGTAGGAAAACCTGCAAAATCGGCAGTGTATTAAATACTTGTTCTCCCCACTGTATGTGTATATATATATATATATATATACATACAGTGGGGAAAAAAAGTATTTAGTCAGCCACCAATTGTGCAAGTTCTCCCACTTAAAAAGATGAGAGAGGCCTGTAATTTTCATCATAGGTACACGTCAACTATGACAGACAAAATGAGAAAATAAAATCCAGAAATCACATTGTAGGATTTTTAATGAATTTATTTGCAAATTATGGTGGAAAATAAGTATTTGGTCAATAACAAAAGTTTCTCAATACTTTGTTATATACCCTTTGTTGGCAATGACACAGGTCAAACGTTTTCTGTAAGTCTTCACAAGGTTTTCACACACTGTTGCTGGTATTTTGGCCCATTCCTCCATGCAGATCTCCTCTAGAGCAGTGATGTTTTGTCGCTGGGCAACACGGACTTTCAACTCCCTCCAAAGATTTTCTATGGGGTTGAGATCTGGAGACTGGCTAGGCCACTCCGGGACCTTGAAATGCTTCTTACGAAGCCACTCCTTCGTTGCCCGGGCGGTGTGTTTGGGATCATTGTCATGCTGAAAGACCCAGCCACGTTTCATCTTCAATGCCCTTGCTGATGGAAGGAGGTTTTCACTCAAAATCTCACGATACATGGCCCCATTCGTTCTTTCCTTTACACGGATCAGTCGTCCTGGTCCCTTTGCAGAAAACAGCCCTAAAGCATGATGTTTCCACCCCCATGCCTCACAGTAGGTATGGTGTTCTTTGGATGCAACTCAGCATTCTTTGTCCTCCAAACACGACGAGTTGAGTTTTTACCAAAAAGTTCTATTTTGGTTTCATCTGACCATATGACATTCTCTCAATCCACTTCTGGATCATCCAAATGCACTCTAGCAAACTTCAGACGGGCCTGGACATGTACTGGCTTAAGCAGGGGGACACGTCTTGCACTGCAGGATTTGAGTCCCTGGCGGCGTAGTGTGTTACTGATGGTAGGCTTTGTTACTTTGGTCCCAGCTCTCTGCAGGTCATTCACTAGGTCCCCCCGTGTGGTTCTGGGATTTTTGCTCACCGTTCTTGTGATCATTTTGACCCCACGGGGTGAGATCTTGCGTGGAGCCCCAGATCGAGGGAGATTATCAGTGGTCTTGTATGTCTTCCATTTCCTAATAATTGCTCCCACAGTTGATTTCTTCAAACCAAGTTGCTTACCTATTGCAGATTCAGTCTTCCCAGCCTGGTGCAGGTCTACAATTTTGTTTCTGGTGTCCTTTGACAGCTCTTTGGTCTTGGCCATAGTGGAGTTTGGAGTGTGACTGTTTGAGGTTGTGGACAGGTGTCTTTTATACTGATAACAAGTTCAAACAGGTGCCATTAATACAGGTAACGAGTGGAGGACAGAGGAGCCTCTTAAAGAAGAAGTTACAGGTCTGTGAGAGCCAGAAATCATGCTTGTTTGGAGGTGACCAAATACTTATTTTCCACCATAATTTGCAAATAAATTCATTAAAAATCCTACAATGTGATTTTCTGGATTTTTTTTCTCCCATTTTGTCTGTCATAGTGGACGTGTACCTATGATGAAAAATACAGGCCTCTCTCATCTTTTTAAGTGGGAGAACTTGCACAATTGGTGGCTGACTAAATAGTTTTTCCCCCCACTGTATATATATATATATATATATATATATATATATATATATATATATATATATATATATATATATATATATATACACACAGTACCAGTCAAACGTTTGGACATACCTACTCATTCCAGGGGTTTATTTATTTTTACTATTTTCTACACTGTAGAATAATAGTGAAGACATCAAAACTATGAAATAACACATATGGAATCACGTAGTAACCAAAAAAGTGTTAAACAAATCAAAATATATTTATATTTCAGATTCTTCAAAGTAGCCACCCTTTGCCTTGATGACAGCTTTGCAGACATTCTCTCAACCAGCTTCATTAGGTAGTCACCTGGAATGCATTTCAATTAACAGGTGTGCCTTGTTAAAAGTTAATTTGTGGAATTGATTTCCTTCTTAATGTGTTTGAGCATATCAGTGTTTGAGCATATCAGTTTGATCATATCAGCCATATTATGGCAAGAACAGCTCAAATAAGCAAAGAGAAATGACAGTCGATCATTATTTTAAGACATGAAGGTCAGTCAATCCAGAACATTTCAAGAACTTTGAACGTTTCTTCAAGTGCAGTGGCAAAAACCATCAAGCGCTATGATGAAACTGGCTCTCATGAGGACTGCCACAGGAAAGGAAGACCCAGAGTTACCTGCAGAGGATACGTTCATTAGAGTTAACTGCACCTCAGATTGCAGCCCAATAAATGCTTCACAGAGTTCAAGGAACAGAGACATCTCAACATCAACTGTTCAGAGGAGACTGCGTGAACCAGGCCTTCATGGTTGAATTGCTGCAAAGAAACCACTACTAAAGGACGCCAATAATAAGAAGATACTTTCTTGGGCCAAGAAACACGACCAATGGACATTAGACTGGTGGAAATGTCCTTTGGTCTGATGAGTCCAAATTTGAGATTTTTGGTTCCAACCGCAGTGTCTTTGTGAGACGCAGAGTAGGTGAACGGATGATCTCTGCATGTGTGGTTCCCACCGTGAAGCAAGGAGGAGGAGGTGTGATGGTGCTTTGCTGGTGACACTTTCAGTGATTTATTTAGAATTCAAGGCACACTTAACCAGCATGGCTACCACAGCATTCTGCAGCGATACACCTTCCCATCTGGTTTGCGCTTAGTGGGACTATCATTTGTTTTTCAACAGGATAATGACCCAACACACCTCCAGGCTGTGTAAGGGCTATTTGACCAAGAAGGAGAGTGATGGAGTGCCGCATCAGATGACCTGGCCTCCACAATCACCCGACCTCAACCCTACTGAGATGGTTTGGGATGAGTTGGACCGCAGAGTGAAGGAAAAGCAGCCAACAATTGCTCAGCATATGTGGGAACTCCTTCAAGACTGTTTGAAAAGCATTCCAGGTGAAGCTGGTTGAGAGATTGCCAAGAGTGTGCAAAGCTGTCATCAAGGCAATTGGTGACTATTTTGAAGAATTTAAAATATATTTTGATTTGTTTAACACTTTTTGGGTTTCTACATGATTCCATATGTGTTATTTCAATGTTTTGATGTCTTCACTATTATTCTACAATGTAGAAAATAGTAAAAATAAAGAAAAACCCTTGAATGAGTTGGTGTGTCCAAACTTTTGACTGGTACTATATAAACTCAGCAAAAAAAGAAACGTCCTCTCACTGTCAATTGCATTTATTTTCAGCAAACTTAACATCCTCCTCATGGACTGCACCAGATTTGCCAGTTCTTGCTGTGAGATGTTACCCCACTCTTCCACCAAGGCACCTGCAAGTTCCCTGACATTTCTGGGGGGAATGGACCTAGCTCTCACCCTCCTATCCAACGGTCCCAGACGTGCTCAATGGGATTGTGATCCGGGCTCTTCGCTGGCCATGGCAGAACACTGACATTCCTGTCTCGCAGGAAATCACGCACAGAACAAACAGTATGGCTGGTGGCATTGTCATGCTGGAGGGTCATGTCAGGATGAGCCTGCAGGAAGGGTACCACATGAGGGAGGAGGATGTCTTCTCCGTAATGCAATGACAACAAGCTCAGTCCGATGATGCTGTGACACACCGCCCCAGACCATGACGGACCATCCACCTCCAAATCGATCCCGCTCTAGAGTACAGGCCTCGGTATAACGCTCATTCCTTCGACGATAAAACCGCGACTCGTCAGTGAAGAGCACTTTTTGCCAGTCCTGTCTGGTCCAGCGACGGTGGGTTTGTGCCCAGAGGCGATGTTGTTGCCGGTGATGTCTGGTGAGGACCTGCCTTACAACAGGCCTACAAGCCCTCAGTCCAGCCTCTCTCAGCCTATTGCGGACAGTCTGAGCACTGATGGAGGGATTGTGCGTTCCTGGTGTAACTCGGGCAGTTGTTGTTGCCATCCTGTACCTGTCCCGCAGGTGTGTTGTTGCACGTGGTCTGCCACTGCGAGGACGATCAGCTGTCCATCTTGTCTCCCTGTAGCGCTGTCTTAGGCGTCTCACAGTACGGACATTGCAATTTATTGCCCTGGCCACATCTGCAGTCCTCATGCCTCCTTGAAGCATGCCTAAGGCACGTTCATGCAGATGAGCAAAGACCCTGGGCATCTTTCTTTAGGTGTTTTTCAGAGTCAGTAGAAAGGCCTCTTTAGTGTCCTAAGTTTTCATAACTGTGACCTTAATTGCCTACCGTCTGTAAGCTGTTAGTGTCCTAACGACCTTTCCACAGGTGCATGTTCATTAATTGTTTATGGTTCATTGAACAAGCATGGGAAACAGTGTTTAAACCCTTTACAATGAAGATCTGTGAAGTTATTTGGATATTTACGAATTATCTTGGAAAGACAGGGTCCTGAAAAAGGGACGTTTCTTTATATATATATATATATATACTGCGTGTACAAAACATTAGGAACACCTGCTCTTTCCATGACATAGATGGACCAGGTGAATCAATGTGAAAGCTATGATCCCCTATTGATGTCACCTGTTAAATCCACTTCAATCAGTGTAGATGAAGGGGAGGAGACTGGTAAAATCAGGATTTTTAAGCCTTGAGACATGGATTGTGCATGCATGCCATTCAGAGGGACAAAATAGTTATGTGCCTTTTGAACGAGGTATGGTAGTAGGTGCCGGGCATACCAGTTTGAGTGTGTCAAGAACTGCAATGCTGCTGGGTTGTTCACGCTCAACAGTTTCCCGTGTGTATCAAGAATGGTACACCACCCAAAGGACATCCAGCCAACTTGACACAACTGTGGGAAGCATTAGTCAAATATTATTATTATAATATTTTTTTTTATTTTTTAAGTTGGATGGAGTTTTGGCCTGCCTGGTGACATCACCAGGTGCTAAATTAGTTAATAGACCAATTAGAAAGAGTTCCAAACCTCTCTGCCAATAACAGCTAGTTTTCAGTTTTCCCCTCCCCACTCAGACTACTCCCAGACAGTCCTAGCTAAATTCTTCCTTGAGAAATTGCTCTTTGCTGAGAAGCTATTTTTATTTATTTTTTAACATTTTAATTTAAAGGAGTCACAGTAAGGTACTTAATTGTTACCCAGAATTGACTTGATATGAATATAAAAAAGGCTGCATCGGACCTTGTCGGGAAGAGTGGGGTGTGCCCGACTTCACAAGTGGGAGAGTAGGCACGCTCTGGCTGTGTCTTCCACACTGTTCCACTTGAGCGAGGTCCAGCCTGCACTCTTGTGCCAGTCAGTTGATTTAGGGAATGCCTTTCAGGTGTGGCTGATTAGTAATCCTGCACAGGTGTGTTGGGTGAACAGAGCTGTGGCGCTGTCTTCGGCTGGCCTGGTGCTGAAGGTAGTGCAGCCTTCCACATTGCTGAACTGAGTGCCAATGTCCACTGTGCTGCAGCCAGTGCCTCTGTCCATGGTGCTGCACTGGGAGTCCTTCAGCCTTGCCTATGCCCATGCCACTCACGGAGACACAGACCTTTAAACAAAAACTACGGATTGCAGCACCCAAAGAAAATAATGCAGTTACACAGGACAGGCTTAGGTACAAGGGACGCATTAAAAAAGTATCAACTGATACCGACTCATGTAGTCGGAGGTACACCCCGCCGACACTCATCTTAACTCAACTCCATTGAGATGTATGGAGTTGAGTTTACTCAGCTACTCTGGACACTGACAGTTTTTAGATTAGTGACCCTATTTTGTGGAATCCGTTTTTTGCCTCCACCAGCAATAACTGCACCAGCAGCACTAGCTTTGGGACTGCAACTAAGATCTTGTATACAGACGGGAAACATGTAAAAAACATAAATTACTGTACACTTTTTTGGGCTGCAATGAATTTTGGACGACAGGCACCTGATCGATGTGCAACTAGGATCCCATACTGTGTACAATATCCTAGTTGCGGTTCCGAAGCTACAGCAGTACTGTGTGCATTTCCTATCAAATGTATTATTTGTAATATATAGATACTTTACTGTCCTAATAAAATATTGTAATTTTAATAGCCTATTACATATTGTACATAATTATATAAATATTAAAATGACAGTGGACCCCAAAATCTAACTTTGTCAAATATTTCTCAGCTCGACTTTAGCATTTCTTTTGGTATGAAAATGTCGGACAACCTTTGATTTTGGAGTGTACTATACATTTAACGCTAGACTAATTAAATGTTTATGTGTTAGTGTTGAACTTACCTTGCTGAGGACACTTTGCTTACAACATCTATCTTTTGTTTCCATTGCGAGCTGAGAAAAGCAGAGGAAGAACCATGACGTCCAGACTCCTCCCCCTCCTGGCGTGCATCCCACTCCTCGCCATGCCCCTCCTGGCACAGGAGCCCAGCGCTATGGAAATCCAGGACCTGAGCACCAGAAATGCTGACTTCGCCGCCCGGCTGTACCGTGCCATTGCTAGCATCACTGATGACAACGTCCTTCTCTCCCCATTTACCGTATCTCTGGGCTTAGCTGCATTGATGAGTGGCGCCGACGGCTCTACACGCGAGCAACTCCTTCAGGGCCTGAGTCTGAACGCTCTCGACCACCTAAGGATCCCAGGTATTTAGCCTTAGAGAATAGAGAGGCAAGACCAGTAAGTGGGAGGGTGGTGGGTTAAAATCCCAGGCTTGACCAGAGGAGGAAACGAACCGGTAACCGAAGAGTTCCTGGTATCAGATTATTCTGCCGTTGTGCCCTTGAGCAAGGCACTTCACCTCAAAAAAGTTACATTACTCTGCGGCTGACCCTGTATTGTTTCCATAATTTTTCTGTTTGTTTGTGTTTGTCTGGGAAAAAAATAAAAAAATACAAATGTACATTTAAATTGTATTCTATGCCAGAACTGTTCCAGAGTGTCCGGGATAGCGTGGCCCAGAGCGGGTTTGGGAACCAGGGTATCGGCATCCTTCCCCGCCAGCAGTTCAAAGTGGACTCGAGCTACCGAGACATTGTGCAGACCAAGTATGGGGGAAATGTCCAGGGGCTGGACTTCAGCGACGGGGCTGCCAAGGACACCATCAACCAGTTAGCCTACACCTACACCAAGGAGCAGGTGAAGGAGGTGGTCAGCGCCATCAACCCGCAGACCCAGATGATGCTAATCACTGCCGTCTTCTTTCAAGGTGAGGAGTAGGCACAGGGGCTCAGTAGAGCATGGCGCTTGCAACTCCAGGATAATGGGTTCGATTACCTGGACCACCCATACGTAAAAAAGTCGCTTTGGATAAAAGCTTCTGCTAAATGGCAAATATTATTATTATTATTATTATTATTATATTATACAGTATTTTACACCTGTATTTTATGACCTTTTGTAAACATAACTATGTCCCGAGGCTAAAGCGCAAAGGGCAGAAGTGTCTGGGAATTAGATTATTGGACGCACAGTCTGTTTTTAAACACATCTTTCCAGGTGCCGTTCACTGCATGCTCTGTTAGCACTGCTTTGTGGGTGATGCTGTGCTGCTCCCAGCTTTGTTTGTGTGTAAGTGAGGTTGGGTATTGTGACAGCAACATGTATCTTTTCTATTTGATTCCCTTTTCTGTTTCTCTCACCAGGCCAGTTTGCCCTCAACTTCAATGCCAGCTTCACCCAGGATGAGCGCTTCTACGTGAACAAGTACAAAATTGCCATGGTCCCCATGATGTTCCGCTCCGATAAGTACCACCTGGCGTACGACCGCTCGCTCAAGCTGGGTGTCCTGAAGTTGCCCATGACTGGCGGCTCCGCCATGCTGGTGCTTCTGCCCGACGAGGACGTAGACTACACCTCCATCGACGAGGAGATCACGGGAGAACGTTTCCAAGGCTGGCTCAAACAGCTCAAGAGGACGTAGGTTGGATGGCACTACAACAATGGAATGGGTTGCTTATATGTAGCATATGGGTCGTTCAACCTAAAAATGCATCAGATTGTGCTGAAATCGTTTCTGTAGTTAAAAACAAATAAGATTAGCATTCCTGAAACATTATTTTGTTTAAATATAATTTGAGCTCTGAGAAATTAAGCTAATTGATTGCACCCAAATTGGCCATTTTAAATGTATAGGATATATTCATATCATTTTCAATAAATATAGTACCTAACTTCCGATTTGGAACATAATTCTTCCTAACTCTGGTTCGGTTCTATTTTCGGCATTGTCATGCCCAATGCATTCACCAAGTAGTCAAGACTATCGATAAAATGTTTAGCTTGTGAGACCACTTTAAAATTGATCTTAATCACCAAAGCTTTAATAAAATATGTAGTTTGGCAGCAGCAAAGTGACATCCCCTTTTTATCTATGTAGGCTATTACATTACTTTAGCCAGCTCCTGTTATTATTTTGGATGTGCGTAAAAACCCCTCCATGTAGGCTATACAGTGCATTCGGAAAGTATTCAGACCCCTTGACGTTTTCCACATTTTGTTACGTTACAGCCTAATTCTAAAATGGATTACATCTTTTTTTCCTCATCAATCTACACATAATACCCCATAATGATGAAGCAAAAACAGGTTTTTAGAAATTTTTGCAAATATATTGAAAATAAAAAAACTGAAATATCACATTTACATACATTACCAGTCAAAAGTTTGGACACACCTACTCATTCAAGGGTTTTTCTTTATTTTTACTATTTTGTAGAATAATAGTGAAGATGTCAAAACTATGAAATAACACACATAGAATCATGTAGTAACCAAAAAAGTGTTAAACAAATCAAAATATATTTTATATTTGAGATTCTTCAAATAGCCACCCTTTGCCTTGATGACAGCTTTGCACACTCTTGGCATTCTCTCAACCAGCTTCACCTGGAATGCTTTTCCAACAGTCTTGAAGGAGTTCCCACATATGCTGAGCACTTCACTCTGCCGTCCCACTCATCCCAAACCATCTCAATTGGGTTGAGGTCGGGGGATTATGGAGGCCAGGTCATCTGATGCAGCACTCCATCACTCTTCTTCTTGGTAAAATAGCCCTTACACAGCCTGGAGGTGTGTTGGGTCATTGTCCTGTTGAAAAAAAAATGACAGTCCCACTAAGCCCAAACCAGATGGGATGGCGTATCGCTGCAGAAAGCTGTGGTAGCCATGCTGGTTAAGTGTGCCTTAAATTCTAAATAAATTACAGACAGTGTCACCAGTAAATCACCCCCACACCATAACACCTCCTCCTCCATGCTTTACGGTGGGAACTACACATGCAGAGATCATCCGTTCACCCACACCGCATCCCACGGCTGTCGGAACCAAAAATCTCAGATTTGGACTCCAGACTAAAGGACAAATTTCCACCGGTCTAATGTCCATTGCTTGTGTTTCTTGGCCAAAGCAGGTCTCTTCTTCTTATTGGTGTCCTTTAGTAGTGGTTTCTTTGCAGCAATTCGACCATGAAGGCCTGGTTCACACAGTCCCCTCTGAACAGTTGATGTTGAGATGTGTCTGTGACTTGAACTCTGTGAAGCATTTATTTGGGCTGCAATTTCTGAGGCTGATAACTCTAATGAACTTATCCTCTGCAGCAGAAGTAACTCTGGGTCTTCCATTCCTGTGGCGGTCCTCATGAGAGCCAGTTTCATCGTAGCGCTTGATGGTTTTTGCGACTGCACTTGAAGAAACTTTCAAAGTTCTTGAAATGTTCCGTATTGACTGACTTTCATGTCTTAAAGTAATAATGGACTGTAATTTCTCTTTGCTTATTTGAGCTGTTCTTGCCATAATATTTACCAAATAGGGCTACCCCCCCTACCTTGTCACAACACAACTGATTGTCTCAAATTCCACAAATTAACTTTTAAGAAGGCACACCTGTTAATTGAAATGCATTATAGGTGACTACCTCATGAAGCTGTTTGAGAGAATGCCAAGAGTGTGCAAAGCTGTCAAAGGCAAAGGGTGGCTATTTGAAGAACCTCAAATTTAAAATATATTTTGATTTGTTTAACACTTTTTTTTTTTGTTACGTCATGATTCCAAATGTTTTATTTCATAGTTGTGATGTCTTCACTATTATTCTACAATGTAAAAAATATTAAAAATAAAGAAAAACTCTTGAATGAGTAGGTGTGTCCAAACCTTTGACTGGCAGTGTAAGTATTCAGACCCTTTACTCAGTACTTTGTTGAAACACCTTTGGCAGAGATTACATCCTCAAGTCTTCTTGGGTATGACGCTACAAGCTTGGCACACCTGTATTTGGGGAGTTTCTCCCATTCTTCTCTGCAGATCCTCTCAAGCTTTGTCAGGTTGGATGGGGAGCGTCGCTGCACAGCTATTTTCAGGTCTCTCCAGAGATGTTAGATCGGGTTCAAGTCTGGGCTCTGACTGGGCCACTCAAGGATATTCAGAGACTTGTCCCAAAGCCACTTCTGCATTGTCTTGGCTGTGTGCTTAGGGTCGTTGTCCTGTTGGAAGATGAACCTTCACCCCAGTCTGAAGTCTTGAGTGCTCTGGAGCAGATTTTCTTCAAGGATCTTTCTGTACTTTGCTCCTTTCATCTTTCCCTTGATCCTGACTAGTCTCCCAGTCCCTGCTGCTCAAAAACATCCCCACAGCATGATGCTGCCACCGCCATGCTTCACCGTAGGCATGGTGCCAGGTTTCCTCAAGAAGTGACGCTTGGCATTCAGGCCAAAGAGTTCAATCTTGATTTCATCAGACCAAAGAATGTTGTTTCTCATGTTCTGAGAGTCCTTTAGGTGCCTTTTGGCAAACTCCAAGTGGGCTATCATGTACCTTTTACTGAGGAGTGGCTTCCGTCTGGCCACTCTACTATAAAGGCCTGATTGGTGGAGTGCTGCAGAGATGGTTGTCCTTCTGGAAGTTTCTCTCATCTCCACAAAGGAAGTCTGGAGCTCTGTCAGAGTGACCATCGGGTTCTTGGTCACCTCCCTTACCAAGGCCCTTCTCCCCACGATTGCTCAGTTTGGCCGGGCGGCCACCTCTAGGAAGAGTCTTGGTGGTTCCAAACTTCTTCCATTTAAGAATGAGGCCACTGTGTTCTTGGGGACCTTCAATGCTGCAGAAATGTTTTAGTACCCTTCCCCAGATCTGTGCCTTAACACACTCCTGTCTCGGAGCTCTACAGACAATTCCTTCGACCTCATGGCTTGGTTTTTGCTCTGACATGCACTGTCAACCGTGGGACCTTATATAGACAGGTGTGTGCCTTTCCAAATCATGTCCAATCAATTGAATGTACCACAGGTGGACTCCAATCAAGTTGTAGAAACATCTCAAGGATGATCAATGGAAACAGGATGCACCTGAGCTCAATTTCGAGTCTCACAACAAAGGGTCTGAAATATTATGTAAATAAGGTATTTCTGTTTTTTACCTTTTAATACATTTGGAAACATTTCTAAAAACCTGTTTATGCTTTGTCATTATGGGGTATTGTGTGTAGATTGATGAGATTTTTATTTTTATTTAATCCATTTTAGAATAAGGCTGTAACATAACAAAATGTGGAAAAAGTCAAGGGGTCTGAATACTTTCCGAATGCACTGTATGCCCATCATGGAACGAGAGATGAGATAATCCGGTAAAACTTGTATTTAGAAACATTTAAGTTATTTTCCTGGAGAAATTGCTTGTTTTCCATTTCGTTTGATAAAAAAACAAGCCCTTAGTAGGCCATCCTTACCCTACTATAATGAAATCTGGTTCAACACCATATCAATGGTAGGCCTAGGCTATATCTTTCTTATTGAGAACGTGCCTCACACATACAATACAATTTACGGGAGCCTATAATGTTTTTTATTTGAGAAGTGCAATGTGTAAAGGACTATACTCGTTGAAGCCAAATGGGTTTTGTTACTGTAGCTTATGCTATTTAGTAAACTGTTGATATCAATCAACAATGGACTAGGATGAGAATATTCCGTGATCCAAGCCGAATTGGAGTTGATGACAAGATTGTCAATAACCTACAGAACTTAAGGCAAACGCATGCAGTATTAAGCTATGGAACGCCTTGATTGGCCAGTGAGTGGCCAAGCCCTCGTCACAACTATAACTTGTTTATTCATCAAAACCCAGCCCTTTTGCGCCACCGCCAGCTATTGAGCTCATAACGGCTGCAAAAATAGCAAAAGTCTCTGACATACCCCCAGACCTATAGCGCCACCACCAGTGCTTAGATTTATCATTGCGTTAGCTTTGTTCAAATAGAGCCCATCATATATTACATTTAGTCAAAAGTTTAGTATTTGGTTCCATATTCCTAGCGCGCAATGACTACATCAAGCTCTACTACTCTACAATAATTAAATGTATATGCTTTTGCAGTTTGTTTTGGTAGTGTTTCAGATTATGTTGTGCCCAATAGAAATGAATGGTAAATAATGTATTGTGTCATTTTGGAGTCCCTTTTATTGTAAATAAGAATAGAATATGTTTATGAACACTTCTACATTAATGTGGATGCTACCATGATGACTGAATCGTGAATAATGATGAGTGAGAAAGTTAGAGGCATAAATATCATACCCCACCAAAAATGTTAACCTCCCATTATTGGTAATGGTGCGAGGTTAACATGTTTTGGGGGCATGAAAATACCCTCAAATAAAAGGTGTCAGTCACCTCATAGAAAACATTTGATCTCAAATCCAAAATGCTGGAGAATAGAGCCAATGCTGATAGAGCAAATGCTGGAGTATATTATAATAATTCACTCATTTGATTTTAGATTTAAAAAAATAATAATAATTGAAACACTCAACCATTGGCCTTATGACCCATTCTTAATGATTATTATGTCACTTCCTGTGCTCTGCAGAAGGCTGGAGGTGCAGCTGCCTAGATTTATGCTGGAGCAGTCATACTCCCTGCAGAAGGTCCTGCCAGGCCTGGGGATCAGCGAGGTCTTCCAGGACAGCGCTGACTTCTCTGGCATCGGTGGGGAAACGGGCCTGAGGCTCTCTGAGGTCAGTGTGTGTGTGTGAGCTGGTGTTTCTCCATTAGTGTTTGTGTGTGTGTGTATCCGTCATTGAGTGTGCATATCTGTGTGTTGTTCATCAGTGTGTACGTATTTCTCCCTCATATACGTGTCTGTCACTGTGTGTCTCCCCATAAGTATGTGTCCACCACTGTGTGTTTGTATCTGTCACTCGACGGCCTCTTGCTCAAGTGTTAGACTGAGATAATGGAGGAGTGATAAGGAAGGTGAGATACCCACTTTTTAGATGCAGCCAACTTCCGGCGGTGTCTTGAATGTCCACCTGTGGTTACTTTATACTGTTTGGGTTAATTGTTTCTGTGAAAGGGAAGACCGGAATAGGCCTCTTGCATTTCGTGGTGTCCTTAATGTATAAGCAAAGGCTCTTGGTAACTTGTGGCCACTGAGAACTACTTTTTATAATCAGAAAATGAAAAGCTGCATAATATTCCCAAAGCAATGTCTCATCAGAGCCCCAAGTGAATACAAATAAGTGAGTTGCTACAAAATCATCATAAAGTGATAAAATAATAATATATTATGTGATAATATATATCAGTGCTTTCCAAAAGTTAAATTGGCATATCGATTTCTTTGGTGACATTATTCTCGTAATGTCAAGCATTCATTCACAGTAAAGACAAAGCCTTCCAGAGTAAGAGAAGTCAAGGTTAGTATATTTAAAAAGGTTAGTACATTCAAAAAGGTTAGTACATTCAAATCCGGTAAGCGTGTGAACATCCGATATGTCACGTGTTGAATGAGGGAGAGCTCGGTTTGTTGTATTTAACTTTTTGAAAGTCTCTAAAGAAAATGTGCTTACTAGCTACCTTTTTGAATTTGGATCCTGTGACGCGGTTAGCCGTTGTTGCTGGGACCGCAATACAGTGCCTTCAGAAAGTATTCACTCCCCTAGACTTTTTCCACATTTTGTTGTGTTACAAAGTGGGGTTAAAATTGATTTCATTGTCTTTTTTGTCAGCAATCTACACAAAGTACTCTAAAGTTAAAGTGAAAGGAAAAATGTCATTGTTTTTACAAACTAATTTAAAAAATACATGTTAGAAACACCTTTGGCAGCAATTATTTTCTTTTGGGGTGAGTCTCTTAAGAGATTTGCACACCTGGATTGCGCAATATTTGCCCATTATTCTTTTTACAATCCTTCAAGCTCTATCAAGTTGGTTGTTGATCATCTCTAGACAGCCATTTAAGTCTTGCCATAGGTTTTCAAGCAGATTTAGGTCAAAACTGTAAGTAGGCCACTCAGGAACATTCAATGTCATCTTGGTAAGCAACTCTAGTGTAGATTTGGCCTTGTGTTTTAGGGTTATTGTCCTACTAAAAGGTGAATTTGTCTCTCAGTGACTGTTGGAAAGCAGATTGAACCAGGTTTTCGTCTAGGATTTTGCCTGTGCTTAGCTACATTCCGTTTTTTTTATATCCTGAAAAACTCCCCAGTCCTTGCCGACGACAAGCATACCCATAACATGATGCAGCCACCACCATGTTTTAAAATATGGAGAGTGGTACCCAGTGATGTGTTTTGCTGGATTTGGCCCAAATATAACACTTTGTATTTAGGACAAAAAGTTAATTCCTTTGTCACATTTTTTACAGTATTATGTTAGTGCCTTGTTGCCAACAGGATGCATCTTTTGGGATATTTTTTTATTCTGTACAGGCTTCATTTACACTCTTGTCATTAAGGTTAGTGGTTTGAAGTAACTACAATATTGTTGATCCATCCTAAGTTTTCTGCTATTCCAGCCATTAAACTCTGTAACTATTTTAAAATCACAATTGGCCTCATGGTGAAATCCCTGAGCGGTTGTCTTTTTCTCCGGCAACTCAGTTCGGAAGGAGGTCTGTATCTTTGTAGTGACTGGTGAACATCCACTTGTATTGATCATATCTTCACTAATGCTGCAGAGATTTGCTCCAAAGCAATATCAGTTTCCATTGGCTGTAGTGACCATAACATTGTGGCAATAACAAGGAAAGCCAAAGTGCCAAATGTTGGTACTAAAGTAATTTATAAGAGATCATACAAAATGTTTCCTCAGGATTCTTTTGTTGAAGACAATGTATGTTGGTCTGATGTGTGTGAGGAAGTGAATCCAGATGCAGCACTTCTAATATTTGTAAAAGTATTAATGCCAATTGTTGACAAGCACGCACCTGTTAAGTAACTAACTGTGAGAACTGTTAGAGCCCCCTGGATTGATGATGAATTGCAAAATTGTATGGTTCAAAGAAATGATGCAAAAGAGGTGGCAATCAAGTCGGCTGCTCAGCTGATTGGTCGACATACTGTCAATTGAGAAATGTTGTGACTAAACGTAACAAAAAGAAGAATAAATGATATTACCAAACAAAGATAAATGACATAAAACACAATGGAAAAATACTTTGGAGTACCTTAAATAATATCATGGGTGGAAAACCCAATTCATCTGCATAGTTCATTGAAGTTGATGGGTCATTTATAACAAAACCTTTCAATATTGCCAATCATTTCACTAGTAAAGTGGAAAAACTCAGAAGTGAAATGACAACATTGAACCATCATACAGTATTACTGTTTTGAATTTGGTCATGTTAGTGTGGGAGAGGATGGAAAAACTATTGTTATCAATAATGATAAGCCTGACAACCTTGATGGGAAACTACTGAGAATGGTAGCAGACTGTATTGCCACCCCTATTTTCGATATATTTAACCAAAGCATAAAGGTGTGTGTGTGTGTGTGTGTGTGTTTAACTATACTTGTGGGGACCAGAAGTCCCCACAAGAATAGTAAACGAACAAACATTTGATCAACTGGGAACATTTTGTTAGTCCCCACAAGGTCAAATGCTATTTCTAGGAGGTTTAGGGTTAAGGTTAGAATTAGTGTTAGGTTTAGAATTAGGTTTAGGGTTAGGAGCTAGGGTTAGGTTTAGGGTTAAGGTTAGGTTTTGGGGTTAAGGTTAGGGTAAGACTTAGGGAAAATAGGATTTTTAATGGGACTGAATTGTGTGTCCCCACAAGGTTAGTTATACAAGACTGTGTGTGTGTGTGTCCCCACAGGCGTGGAAGGAAGCTAAAGTAATTCCACTGCCTAAAAAATAGTAAAGCATCCTTTGCTGGCTCTAACAGCCCCCCAATCAGTTTTCTGCCTGTTCTTAGTAAAATGATGGAGGATTGTGTTTTACCAAATACAATGCTATTTTTACATCAACAAATAACCTTAAATTCATTACAGTTTAATCTCTTATCAAAATGAAAAGAAACCAATAAATACATTTACTCAATAAAATAAAAAATGTATTTCTCAAAAACGTCTCTATATTGTCCAATACAATAATCTGTACTCTTAAATGTTTTTTTATATGGCGACCCCACTGCAGTTCCCCCAACCCCGACTTTGAAAACCAGTGCTCTAAGACCTAAGACCAACTGGAGTTGTACTTCAAGGGTGTGACCATTGAGCAAGTTGAGGAAGCTAAACTTCTAGGTATAACATTGTATGGTCAATTATCATGGTCAAGACATATTGACAAAGTTGATGTGAAGATGGGGAGGGGTATGTCTGTTATAAAAATATGTTCTGCATTTTTTACACAAACCAACTGTAGTAGTTGTTCAGGCTCTGGTCTTGTCCCATCTTGATTACTGTCCAGTAAAATGGTCAAGTGCAGCAAAGAAAGACCTAGCAAAGCTGTAGCTGGCTCAAAACAGAGCAGCACACCTTGCCCTTAACTGCACATACAGAACTAACATCAACAGTATGCATGGCAGTCTTTCCTGGTTGAGGGTTGACAAGAGATTAACTGCTTCTCTTCTAGGTATGAGAAATATTACTGTGACAAAAATTCCAGATTGTCTGCATAATCAAATAACATTCAGCTCAGACACCCATACACACCCTCACAGTCCCCAAGTCCAAAATGAATTCACGGCAATGCAGTTTTATACAGAGCCATGATTGCATGGAAAATCTCCAATTACCCAAGCAAACAGCAAATGTACCATTAAAAAACGGATTAAAAAACAACTCATGGTATGGCGGGGACTATAAGGGGACACACACACATTCTTTTTTGGTTGCATTGTTTGTACAGTGCATTCAGAAAGTATTCAGACCCATTTACTTTTTCCTTATTTTGTTACGTTACAACCTTATTCTAAAATGGATTAAATTGTTTTTGTTCCCTCATCAATATACACACAATACCCATAATGACAAAGCAAAAACAGGTTTTTAGAATGTAAAAAACAAATAACATTTACGTAAGTATTCAGACCCTTTACTCAGTACTTTGTTGAAGCACCTTTGGCAGCGATTACAGCCTTGAGTCTTCTTGGGTATGATGCTACAAGCTTGGCACACCTGTATTTGGGGAGTTTCTCCCATTCTTCTCTGCAGATCCTCTCAAGCTCTGTCAGGTAGGATGGTGAGCGTCGATGCACAGCTATTTTCAGTTCTCTCCAGAGATGTTCGATCGAGTTCAAGTAAGGGCTCTGGCTGGGCCACTCAAGGACATTCAGAGACTTGTCCCAAAGCCACTCTTGCGTTGTCTTGGCTGTGTGCTTAGCTTAGAGTCGTTGTCCTGTTGGAAGGTGAACCTTCGCCCCAGTCTGAGGTCCTGAGCGCTCTGGAGCAGGTTTTCATGAAGGATCTCTCTGTACTTTGATCCGTTCATCTTTCCCTCGATCCTGACTAGTCTCCCCGTCCCTCCCCACAGCATGATACTGCCACCACCATGCTTTACCATAGGAATGGTACTAGGTTTCCTTCAGACGTGACGCTTGGCATTCAGGCCAAAGAGTCCAATCTGGGTTTCATCAGACCAGAGAATCTTGTTTCTCGTGGTCTGAGTCCTTTAGGCAAACTCCATGCGGGATGTCATGTGCCTTTTACTGAGGGGCTTCCGTTAAGGCCACTCTACCATAAAGGCTTGATTGGTGGAGTGCTGCAGAGATGGTTGTCCTTCTGGAAGGTTCTCCCATCTCCACAGAGGGATTCTGGAGCTCTGTCAGAGTGATCATCGGGTTCTTGGTCACCTCCCTGACCAAGGCACTTCCTCCCGATTGCTCAGTTTGGCCGGGCGGCCAACTCTAGGAAGGGTCTTGGTGGTTCCAAACTTCTTCCATTTAAGAATGATGGAGGCCACTGTGTTCTTGGGGACCTTCAATGCTGCAGACATTTTTTGGTACCCCTCCCCAGATCTGTGCCTCGACACAATCCTGTCTCGGAGCTCTACGGACAATTCCTTCGACCTCATGGCTTGGTTTTTTCTCTGTCAACTGTGGGACCTTATATAGACAGGTGTGTGCTTTCAAAATCAGTTGTAGAAACATCAAGGATGATCAATAGAAAGAGGATGCACCTGAGCTCAATTATGAGTCTAATAGCAAAGGGTCTGAATACTTATGTAAATAAGGTATTTCTAATACATTTGCCAAAATGTCTAAAAACCTGTTTTCGCTTTGTCATTATGGGGTATTGTGTGTAGATTGACATTTTAGAATAAGGCTGTAACGTAACAAAATGTGGAAAAAATCAAGGGGTCTGAATACTTTCCGAATGCACTGTATATTGTTGTATTTTACATTTGTGTGACTTTCCTTGTCTATCAGTGTTTTGTTACTTGTCATGTTGTGATAACTAATGTAAAATATACTGTATCCGTAAAATGTATATAGGTTCAGAACTTTGTCCGTAGAGCTCTGAGACAGGATTGTGTTGAGGCACAGATCTGGGGAAGGGTACCAACATATGTCTGCAGCATTGAAGGTCCCCAAGAACACAGTGGCCTCCAAATGGAATACGTCTAGAACCACCAAGACTCTTCATAGAGCTGGCCACCCGGCCAAACTGAGCAATCGGGGGAGAAGGGCCTTGGTCAGGGAGGTGACCAAGAACCCGATGGTCACTCTGACAGAGCTCCTCTGTGGAGATGGGAGAACCTTCTAGAAGGACAACCATCTCTGCAACACTCCACCAATCAGGCCTTTATGGTAGTGGCCAGATGGAAGCCACTCCTCAGTAAAAGACACATATGACAGCCCGCTTGGAGTTTGCCAAAAGGCACCTGAAGAACTCTCAGACCACGAGAAACAAGATTCTCTGGTCTGATGAAACCAAGATTGAACTCTTTGGCCTGAATGCCAAGCGTCACATTTGGAGTTAATCTGGTACCATCCCTACGGTGAAGCATGGTGGTGGCAGCATCATGCTGTGGGGATGTTTTTCAGCGGCAGGGACTGCGAGACTAGTCAGCATCGAGGGAAAGATGAACGGAGCAAAGTACAGAGAGATCCTTCATGAAAACCTGAATACTTTCCGAATGCACTGTATATTGTTGTATTTTACATTTGTGTGACTTTCCTTGTCTATCAGTGTTTTGTTACTTGTCATATTGTGTTTTTTGTGGACCCAAAAGCTAATGGGAGATCCAAATAAACAAGGAAGCTGCATTTTCGAAAGGCCATCATTAGGCTTCCATCAGCCTCGTGTTGAAGGTGACTGTTAGCACTATCATGCCAACTCCTTGCCACTCTTTGTCAATGTCATGACAATGGCATTTGGCTTGACCAGGACACTGGACAGCAATGGAGTAGGCAAGAGCACAAACAGGTCTGGGGCCAGTTAGCAGCATTATTCACTTTCCTTACTACATCTTAACCATGCAATCCTTTCTTAGCTTTCTTATTCTGTGGTTTCAGGTTGTGCACAAGGCGGCCATCACCGTGGACGAGACCAGCAGCACCGGGAATGCTCGTGCCCCGAACATCTTCGCTAGTCTACCTCCTCGGCTCACCGTCAACCGGCCTTTCCTCTTCCTCATTTACCACCAGGCCACCAGCAGCATTCTCTTCATGGGCAGGGTGATCGACCCCACCAAGAAGTAACTGCGACCGTAACCATCGTGTCATATAAGTGTTTGTGGTTGAGTAATAACACTGTAACTAACGGTCTTGTCTGCCTGTATTGTCCTCTTATAAACACTCAAGTTGCAGGGCACCATATGAGTCTGTGTAGATAGTATTAATGCATCCTTTTGGTGATTTACTTGGTGAACTATAGGTCATATTCAGATATAGTGACACTTGAGGTCAAATTGCAGTTGGACAAAATGTCTAGTTTTTCAGTAATTGCACACTAATATGCTGAGCAGTTATGTGATGGCCTTCATCTTAAGTACTACTATCCTTCTCTTTTTAGCTCCCTCCCTTTGAGGCTTAATTTGTCATTTAAAAGGCACTGAACATGTTTTGCCTTCTGTAATCTAAAATGATAGAATTTGCAGTATGTAACCTATAGGGACCAATTGTGTTTAAATCAAAACAAAGGACTAACAAACTCTGTGGTGTTTTCCGGGACACAGATTAAGCCTAGTCCTGGACTAACAATGATTTTAGGAGATTCTCAATTGAGCTTGCTTTTTAGTCCAGGACTAGGCTTAATCTGTGTCAGAGAGAACCGGCCCCAAAAAGTCATTCACTGACCTATGCTTTATATTAGAATAAGAAAGAAAGTAAGTTGAGCTCATTATCATGTCACATATTCAACACAGGTTTTATTGATTGGGTGGTGAGGGTTGGCATGGGCGGATCACTCAGGTGCTTCAGAGGCACCAGGCACAATCTCATTGGTGGGATGGAGAAATTCCGGTACCAATCACAAGTGTTGGAAAAGGTGGTGGATCGTATAGTCATAAAAACAGTGAGTTTTTTTTCTTCAATAGCCATTTGGGAAAATATAAAACATAAGAGAAGAGACTATGCAAAGCATGCTATAATACAGAAAGAAATTGCCAATAAATAAAGGTACAAATAAAATGCATACTGTTACATATTTTGTTTGGAATTACTTATTTTTTGTCAAATGGAACGAGTTACGAGTATTTGTAGAATAAGGCAGAGATGGGTTTGATGTCTGTTCTGTTTCCCATTGGTGCAATTAAGACTCCGGACGTCTTTCCCCCGCGAGCCAATGTTGAAGTGTTTATTAGGTTTTGTTTGTCATTTGGAACCTGAAGCAGGGGGAGGACAGATGCACACTTTTGACAACTTGAGATAGATGAAGGAGGATGACCATCGGAGCAGGGGTGTAGTGGTCGTGGCCACCCGGTTCTTCCCAAAGGCTTGATCTTGAGGACCTCAAGGTCATCGCCGGGGGACTAAGGGGTCTGTCATCGCCCCAATATAGCCAGCTTCACTCCCTCCCCGACTGCATACCGAAAGAGTTGGACTTCCTTTGTCTGGAAAACAGAGTACAGGAGGTGCAGGTAAGCATTGGGTAAACAAGTTAATAAGTAGTAAACAAGGAGTGACCTATCGCAAATCGACCCCTAGCTCCCACCCCTACATAACAGATGGGCAATTTTTCCTGGGAAGGGCTGGTATGAGTGCAGGTTCTGATTGATTATTCGAATCAGGGGTGTTAAAGCTGAGAGGATGAGGTGTAAGCGATATGGTACAAATTCCACCTGGCCAATCAAATGGTAAGATGGAGCTACCATTACATTTACATTTACGTCATTTAGCAGACGCTCTTATCCAGAGCGACTTACAGTTAGTGAACACATTTTTTTTTTTTATACTGGCCCCCCGTGGGAATCGAACCCACAACCCTGGGGGTTGCTTGTACCCACCCAATCCTTTCATACACTACTTGTACCCACCCAATCCTTTCATACACTACATGACCAAAAGTATGTGGACACCTGCTCGTCGAACATCTCATTCCAAAATCATGGGCATTAATATGGAGTTGGTCCGCCCTTCACTGCTATAACAGCCTCCACTCTTCTGGGAAGGCTTTCCACTAGATTTTGGAACTTTGCTGCGGGGACTTGCTACCATTCAGCCACGAGCATTAGTAAGGTTGGGCACTGATGTTGGGCGATTAGGCCTGGCTCACAGTCGCCGCTCCAATTCTTTCCAAAGGTGTTCGATGGGGTTGAGGTCAGGGCTCTGTGCAGGCCAGTCAAGTTCTTCCACACCATACAGATTGCAAAATAGTTGGGAAGAGATTTTCATTGTACCGATTCCATGGCACATGGTTTATGAACTGATACACAAAACGACGCCGGATTCAAAACTTTGGATTTTTCAATTTAAATTATTATACAAAATACTTGCAACCAATTGAATTTTATATATATGGGGGATACAACCATTCCAGCTCTCCAGATTTTGCTGCAAAGAGACAGAATAATTAGATCATTTGTTTTGGTACTGTCCATATGTAGCTTGTTTTTGGTCGCAGGTTCAGGAATGGTTGAAGAATTTCAACATTTACCTGGAGCTAACTCTGCAAATAGGACTGATGGGTGATTTGAAAAGTTATAGTCAATCGATCAATAATATAACAATACTTTTAGCAAAAAAATGTATCTTTAATTTACAATTGTAGAAACTATGCGAATAGAAAGGTTCAGAACGTTGTGAAACATCACAGCCAAGTAAAAAAAATATATGGCAACTAGAAATCTAAACTGGATGGTGTTCAGAGATAGATGGGAGGGGTTGAGTGGAGCTGAAGGGTGGGACTAAAAACAAACAAAAGATAACTCATGTAAAATATACTGTGTCCGTAAAATGTATATAGGTTCAGAACTTTGTGAAACAGCACAGTTAAAAATATATGGTAAATATAAATCAAAACTGGATGGTCTTCAGAGGTAGATGGAAGGGGTTGAAAGTAGCTGAAGGATGGGATTAAAAACAAACAAAAGATAACTATTGTAAAATACACTGTGTCCGTAAAATGTATATACTATGTACAGTGCACTCGGAAAGTATTCAGACCCCTTGACTTTTTCCACATTTTGTTACGTTACAGCCTTATTCTAAAATTGATTAAATTAATTTTCTCCCTCAACAATCTACACACAATACCCCATAATGACAAAACAAAAACAGGTTTGAAATTGTTGCAAATGTATTTAAAAAACCCAAACAGAAATACCTTATTTACATAAGTATTCAGACCAAAATGTATCTCAGGTGCATCCTGTTTCCATTTATCATCCTTGAGATGTTTCTACAACTTGATTGGAGTCCACCTGTGGTACATTCAATTGATTGGACATGATTTGGAAAGGCACATGCCTGTCTATATAAGGTCCAACGGTTGACAGTGCATGTCAGAGAAAAAAAAAAACAAGAGACAAGATTGTGTCGAGGCACAGATCTGGGGAAGGGTACCAAAAAATGTCTGCAGCATTGAAGGTCCACAAGAACACAGTGGCCTCCAAATGGAAGAAGTCTGGAACCACCAAGACTCTTCATAGAGCTGGCCACCCGGCCAAACTGAGCAATCGGGGGAGAAGGGCCTTGGTCAGGGAGGTGACCAAGAACCCGATGGTCACTCTGACAGAGCTCCAGAGTTCCTCTGTGGAGATGGGAGAACCTTCTAGAAGGACAACCATCTCTGCAACACTCCACCAATCAGGCCTTTATGGTAGTGGCCAGATGGAAGCCACTCCTCAGTAAAAGACACATGACAGCCCGCTTGGAGTTTGCCAAAAGGCACCTAAAGGACTCTCAGACCATGAGAAACAAGATTCTCTGGTCTGATGAAACCAAGATTGAACTCTTTGGCCTGAATGCCAAGCGTCACATCTGGAGTTAACCTGGCACCATCCCTACGGTGAAGCATGGTGTTGGCAGCATCATACTGTGGGGATGTTTTTCAGCGGCAGGGACTGCGAGACTAGTCAGCATCGAGGGAAAGATGAACGGAGAAAAGTTTGGGATGAGTCGGATGGCAGAGAGTACAGAGAGATCCTTCATGAAAACCTGCTCCAGAACTCTCAGGACTGGGGCGAAGGTTCACCTTCCAACAGGACAACGACACTAAGCACACAGCCAAGACAACGCAGGAGTGGCTTCGGGACAAGTCTCTGAATGTCCTTGAGTGGCCCATTCAGAGCCCGGAATTGAACCCGATCTAACATCTCTGGAGAGACCCGAAAATAGCTCTGCAGCGACGCTCTCCATCCAACCTGACAGAGCTTGAGAGGATCTGCAGAAAAGAATGGGAGAAACTCCCCAAATACCGGTGTGCCAACCTTGTAGCGTCATACCCAAGAAGACTCGAGGCTGTAATCTCTGCTAAAGGTGCTTCAAAGTATTGCGTAAAGGGTCTGAATACTTATGTAAATGTTATATTTCAGTTTGTAATTTTTATAAATGTGCAAAAATGACAAAAAACCTGTTTTTGCTTTGTCATTATGGGGTATTGTGTGTAGATTGATGAGGGGAAAAAAAACAAATCTATTTTAGAATAAGGCTGTCATGTAACGAAATGTGGAAAAAGTCAAGGGGTCTGAATACTTCTCGAATGCACTGTATAAGCTTGAAGTGGAAGTTGTTGTCCATTAGTTTTCTCCAATTAGGGGAGGGGTGGTAGGGTTAGGGGAAAATAATAAAGGAAAAAAAGTATTTAGTCAGCCACCAATTGTGCAAATTCTCCCACTTAAAAAGATGAGAGAGGCCTGTAATTTTCATCATAGGTACACGTCAACTATGACAGACAAAATTTGGAAAAAAAATCCAGAAGATCACATTGTAGGATTTGTAATGAATTTATTTGCAAATTATGGTGGAAAATAAGTATTTGGTCAATAACAAACGTTTCTCAATACTTTGTTATATACCCTTTGTTGGCAATGACACAGGTCAAATGTTTTCTGTAAGTCTTCACAAGGTTTTCACACACTGTTGCTGGTATTTTGGCCCATTCTTCCATGCAGATCTCCTCTAGAGCAATGATGTTTTGGGGCTGTCGCTGGGCAACACAGACTTTCAACTCCCTCCAAAGATTTTCTATGGGGTTGAGATCTGGAGACTGGCTAGGCCACTCCAGGACCTTGAAATGCTTCTTACGAAGCCACTCCTTCGTTGCCCGGGCGGTGTGTTTGGGATCATTGTCATGCTGAAAGACCCAGCCACGTTTCATCTTCAATGCCCTTGCTGATGGAAGGAGGTTTTCACTCAAAATCTCATGATACATGGCCCCATTCATTCTTTCCTTTACACAGATCAGTCGTCCTGGTCCCTTTGCAGAAAAACAGCCCCAAAGCATGATGTTTCCACCCCCATGCTTCACAGTAGGTATGGTGTTCTTTGGATGCAACTCAGCATTCTTTGTCCTCCAAACACGATGAGTTGAGTTTTTACCAAAAAGTTATATTTTGGTTTCATCTGACCATATGACATTCTCCCAATCCTCTTCTGGATCATCCAAATGCACTCTAGCAAACTTCAGACGGGCCTGGATATGTACTGGCTTAAGCAGGGGGACACGTCTGGCACTGCAGGATTTGAGTCCCTGGCGGCCTAGTGTGTTACTGATGGTAGGCTTTGTTA